AGCCCGGAAACAAGGTTTACGTTTTTTTTTTTTCTTTTTTTTTTTTTGGGGGGAACCAATAAGGGGGGGGGGGTAATTATGGTGGGGGGGGTGGAAAACCCTCACTCCGGGAAAGGGGGGAGGATCGCACCTGGTGGTGTAAAAAGGGTCAAGTTTCCTGGGGGCAGTTACACAGGGATAAAAATTGTTTTGGGAAGGGAAAGCACCAAAAAAAAAATTAAGTCATAGGTGGTTGTCATCCATAGGAAGGGAAGTAAGCAAAAGATGCGGAACACCTTTAGCGGGAGGCAGTTCACCTTTCATGGGATTGGCGGAATACCTCAGGGGGTTTGGGGTTGGGGGATGGGAGAGCTTGGTCGGGGGAGAACCGGGGGTGTTCGGTCCGGGTTTGGTAGGGAGGGGAGGTAAAGGGTTAAAGGATTAGGGGAGGCAGGATTATGGGGACACCCCCCCCCCCCCAGATGCCGTCCTCCATCCTCTAGAGGACGCGTGGTCAATGGTCTAATCGCTAAGGCGTGTAAAGACCATAAGACTTTACGCTCCCCAGATGCAGTCGAAAAGTGGGGGGGAGGGGGGGGGGGTGTACTCATAGTCGTGCATGCCGTAGTCGTTAGACCATTGACCTCGCATCCCTACAAAGCCGGGACGGAGCACGCCGGGTTCTCACCGGACCAGGCTCTCACATCACCAAGCGCGAAGCGCGCGTGAGGTATTCGGCGAGTCGCATGAAGGGTGCGCTGCATCCTGCTAAGGGTGTTCGGCATCTTGTGCTTACTTCCTTGCGTACGGATCATGACAGCTGCGTATGACTTAATTTATTTGCTGGCGCTTTCACTTCCAGAGACAGTTGTAAGCACTGTGTAACTGCCTCGAGCATGCTTGACCATTTTAACACAAGCGTGGTGCGATCATCCCCCTTGCGTGGAGTGAGGGTTCTCCACCCCGCACAACATAACCTACTCGACCACCACCATTCATTTTTGGTTACCGCAAAAAATAAAACCAGAGGCAAAAAAAAATGCGGTAACCTGGTTGCCGGGCTCACGAAGTGATCGGCTCGTTTTACAACGAGGGGGGGTTCTCAATGGCACCTTCGCGAGTCGCAGTGATGTTGGGTAGGCAAACGCGCCCGAATATTTTTGTTACGCACGGAGTATTGAAATGTTTGCGGGGACAACAAATATATTCTGGGGGAGGGAGCGGGGGCGGGGGGCAGATAGCTGTCGATGCTCGGGGTTTCCAGCAGCCAATGTAATGAATGTAGTCTGAGAGGTGTGGGGGGAGGTTTAGTCTTGATGGGTATCAAGTCAAACCAGCTCTGACAAGAAGGAAGCCGGTTTGGTTTGTCGCTCTCTGCCGATTTGTTCTTGTTGTTGTCGCCACCGGAACGACGCAAAAAAATTGTTCAATCAAGAGAACGAGGCTCAGATTCTCGCAAAAAATAAAAACAAGAACGAATACATCAGCCAGCTCAGCGGTGCTGCAACCTGCACCAGAATCTCCTCCTCGTCCTCCTCCTGTGCTGGGCGGCCGGCGGCGACGAAAAAACAAAATTAGCCCCCACCTCAATCTGATATCCTACCTGCGGCCGCCAACTAAATAGACTAAAATAATTGTCCTGGGTTCCTGCGACTAGGACTTATTGTATTGCTCTCTCAAGTAGAAGTATTATAAAAGTAGTCTAAGCGCCTGGGAAGCATGGAAAATGGATAGATAGAATATGTAGATAGAGGTCTGGATGCTTCGCGTATGGTTCAGTGAGCAACAGACAGAGACAACAAACAAGGGGGGTCTTCTCTTATATATATGAGTTTTTTTATTTGTTGGCATCATCGTAGACTTGACTTGATTATTGTGGTGTTACAAGAGTTGCTTCAAGCTGACAAACTTAAAGCCCAAGAATCGCAGCCTGTGGCGCGGCAACAGCTTCGCAATTCGGAGCATGCCATGCAACGAACGGTAGGGCCGGGAGACTAAAATATACAGCAGTAACTGGAAGCACCCGCTGGCTGGCTGTGACGTCAAGCAGTCGGTGGCATGCACATCTGTGCAACATCACTCCCGTCTTTACACCCTACACGTGGTAGGGTCCGCTCAACTGCATGCATGCATGCGTTTTTCAAACCGGCCGGTAAAAACAGAAGAAATCAGTATTGGCCTTTCTTCCATTGACGAGGAAACGTCATCCACACAAACAACCGCCAAGCAGCATGGTGCACGCTCTCTGTGCTGCACTGCCGACAACTCGGTGGGCCATCACGTGATCCAAATCTTTTTCAGCAAGAAGTTGGTGAAGGTCGGTAGTTTCGCTTTCGAAAATTCAACCGCTCTACAGCAGTAAGAAGGGGAAAAAAATCCCTCATGACATGCAGTCAGATACCACAAGACGGTTACCAAACTGCTATCTTGTTGAGCCTGCTACTCGCAGGGGAGATATCGCTGTGTGCTGCTCGAGAAACCGTACAAATACAGGTAGTCTCCGCTGACTACCGCTGACGCTATGAATTCCTTGCTAATCTACTCGTTTCTAGATCAAGATGGATTTGTTCTGTGTCATACAAAACAAGAAAAATAAAAAACGAAAAAACAAACAGGATACGGCGTGTTTTGCCACATAAATAAGCAGCAACGCATGCATCTGCTGCGTATTGCTGCTGTGGTATGTACGTACCGCTCTGGAGTGCTCCCTTGCTGGATTATCCTTCTGGGCCGGGACAAGTGAAGGAGCCAGGGTACCGTGCGTGCAAGTGGATATACTCCATGTGTGATGGCGAAGAACATGTGTGTGTGTGTGTGTGTGTGTGTGTGTGTGTGTGTGTGTGTGTGTGTGTGTGTTTCTCCTCGTCAGCACAGCGCGATGAAACTTTCGATAAACACAGAACCGCCGTCCGTTTCCGTTTCTCTTTGTGCCAACAAACACACAATCACGCGCAAGGCGGAGAGCCAGGGCAGCAGTAGCAGTAGCAGCAGCCGCACCAGCCGCAGCACTCCCTATACCCGCTAGCTCTAAGCCGCGTAGCTGCTGCCGTGTACGAACGTGGTAGGGACGCTGAGCAGCACAACCAGGGAGGCTCTGCGCGGCACCACCGTCGTGTTCATTGCTCCACTGCTGTGGGGGACGGCCTACCTACTACGCGAGACAACAACAACAGCAGCAGCAGCAAGCATCCGCCACGTCGTTGAAGATCTCCACAACCCCATACCGACACATACATGGACCGCTGGGCGACTCTCTATTCCCTCTCACCCGACATTGGTTGAACTGCTCGAACAGAAACGGGTTGCCTTCGCCGTCAAGCACGTTGAAGTCACCGAGGCCCAGCCCCCGGCTGTACATCGCGCGTGTGATGCGTTGGAATCGTGAGCGGAGAAGGGGCGCGGTGGGTTTTTTGGAGTGTGTTGCGGCGACCCGAGAAAACACGTTGGTACGTTGGTTGTTTTTTCGCATCTTTGAGGAACTTTTTGAGAAATTGAGAAAAAGGGTGATGCGGAGATCAAGCTTTTCGCATTCGGAACGTTCTGTGAGGGTTCGGTATACTCGGAGTACATATCGGCTGAGCCGCCGCGGCCTGCGGCGAGAGCGGGGTTCAGCGCCGCCGAAAGTTGAGACCATCACCATATGTATTATGCTACGATCGACAATCGAAAACCGATCCATTTTCCATTTTCCCTATATTCGTCGGGAATTTCAATTCTCCCCTGGGTTCGAAAATATATTATTTTTACGCCGATAATTTTACCGCCGCCTCGGTACAGATGGCGCCCGCACTTAAGAACCTACCTGTTAAAAACATGAGGCTCAAAAAATCCAAAACTCATGAACATGAGCGTATTTTAGTGGTCCCCGTTAAGAACCTCACACTAAAACCTATATAATGGCCATTCGCAGCCTCAACAGGCAACTAAGAACCCCAGCCTCACGCAAATTAAGATGTTCTTGAGTGCGGGCGCCATCTGTATGCATGTATGCACATGAGCGAAGAAGAGCAGGGGCACGGACTACACATACATACAGTGTAGTGCTTTCGGACGTGTTGCTTGCTCTCGGGAGGACCGCTGCTGCTGCTGCTGCTGCTGCGATCCGAAAGAAAGTCCGGCGCAACGTAATTTGGGCGTTACCGGCCGTATAGAGTTTCATTTTGAGTAACGCACGTTTTTCGATAAAGTGTGGGACAGGGGGGATGATGCTGCTGTAATCGAATGTAGTGTGTGGACGGGTAGTTCAGTTTTGGACACGCAAACGTGCTGAAGGTATGTATAGGTGTACCTCTTCGGGCTTGTGTACCCTTTTCTTGCTAGTTTGCGTGTTCTTTAGATCTTCTGATGGCTCCAGCATTTATTTTTCTGACCACGGACCGCGTCTTTGCTAGATTTTAAGGAATAATTAATACACAAACAGGAAGACTACCCATTCGAGATGCACCCACAGTCGAACGGGATGTGGTGGTGGAGTTAAATGTGAAGCAAACAACAACAACAACAACAAACAATGTTTTTCGAACAGTTCTTTTTCAAGATGATTTCCGTGCTGCCGAAAAAAGAAATTTCCGCGGACAACAAAAAATGGTGTGTGGTTCATGCAAGATAACACCGGAGACGGCGATGTCACCCAACAAAAAATTGGCAGCCCCTTTCACACACACCACGGGGGGTGCTGTAGCCGAAAGGCGACTGTCGATTGACCAGCAGTAGCCCAAGCACGTTCGTGAGTTGTGCGAAGGATAGGTGCCTCATAAGGAGGCCGAAAAGTGGAGTCCAGCCTCTGCCAGCTCTCCGTCCCGCCAACTTTTTTTCAGCGTTCCGAGCACAGCCTTGCCAGCAGAAAATCCAGTCGGCAGCTTGTCCCAACACCACGGGGAGCAATCGCCCGCGACCATTTTCGCGTTCTGAGGACGGGAGCGTGAGCGGTGTGTGCCCCTGGGGGCCTGTTTGACCTGGAATCGAGGCCAAACGCGCAGCCTCGATCGCAGCTGGTGTCAACCACGGTAGCAGCCCTTGGCGATCTCATCCTGTGGCGTCCTGTGGCGCATGCCAGCAGGCGCCGAGAGTCTTCCCCGGTGCCCCTCTGTTCTGGGAGCTCGGCAAAGCCGGCAGTGAGGTCTGGCGTGCTCTGTGGAGGGAGGGTGGGGCATTCTCCGTTGGCGAGCTGTGTTGCTGCTGGGCTGGGAATTCACGGCACGCCGCAGCTGACTTCGGCTGCACGCCGACAAGCCCAGGTGAGACGAATTTCTACCCCTGCTGCGGTTTCGACCCCCTCACACACGGCACTAGTAGTGCTGTGAGCGCTGATTTGAAGTGAAGAAGAACACCCTAGGACGTAGTTGCAATAGGACAGGTTCGGCCGTTCCTTGCCCGCAGAACACCAGCTGATCCAGTCTCTACTTCCTCACTGCTGCAGAAATTGGCCCGCTTTTTTGTTGTACTGCAGCTGCGGTGACCAAAACGTTGGCTTGCTTGATGGATCGAGCTTGGATCTCACCATCTTCTCATCGGCTTGGATCCAAACTCCGAGTAATAAATTGCGGGGGGTTTGGATCCAGCCGCAGTTGTTCGATATCGCAGCCCCTAGCAACATCTGCAGCAGCGGGTCCAACAACGCAGCAAGTGTACCGACGCGCGTGTCTCGCTGCTCCATGAGATCGGGGTTCTTCTTCCCTGAGCCGGAAAAGGTAAGGTCGTGTTCCGAGTTTGTGTCGAAGAACTAGGATATGCGTCGCGTTGCGGTGGTGGTGTTTTATCATCGTCATCGTCGTACATCATCATTATAATCATCACGACGACCAGAATAATAATACAGGAGGCTCCACGTGACATGCCGATGAACTATGCATACGGTATCGGTTCGTACGCAGAGGGATCCTGACAGCAGCAGTTATTTTCTTGCTTGTTGTCTTCTTCCTTTTTTCGGCGTTCTTTCTGCAACCCTGCACAAAGGGCGGGCATCGCGTGCATCCAAAGAAATAGTTGTTTCTATCTGTGCAATTGGTTGATCGGTAATAAAACTCCGGCGGCGATACACCCCCGCTGACGGCCTGGTAGGGGTACAGATGATGAACACATCTGTGTACAGCAGTAGTATGCATATATATTATGCGTGTAGGCTTGGGAGGATCAGCCGACTAACCATGGTGATGGTCGACTCTTGATTATTTTTCGTTTTTTCCCTGTTGGGGCATCACGTGCGTGCCCACCAGGAGCGAGCGAGGCTCTCCTTTGCTTTCATTGGACGGAGACTTCCTCGTCTCCGGGATATTTAGTCACACGATGAGTTGCTTGTGACCTGCTGCTGCTTTACTGTATTTATTTGAGATTTTCTGGGCCCTATTTTGTACAGGCAGTAGAATTTGGTTTTTGATTTCTAGAAACGTCAGACGTGCGTGTGGTGTGTGCGAGGGTCTACTGTTGTGGAGGAACAGAGAAATAAAAGAGGGAAGGGAGCAGGTCCGCTGCTCCTTGCTGGCTCACGCACAGTTGTTGCTGCATTTCATGTTTTTTCCTCTTCATAACTAGCCCGCGTTCCGCGGTCACAAGTCGAGAGTGAGAACGGGGGTTGGAATCTTAGTCACACCAACCAACGAAAATACACAGTATCCACGTCATGATCATATAACGCTCATACACTAGTTGCTCCATCACATTATTAGCGGACCCTGGGAAGTGGTATATATATGCAGATACTCTATCTTCAACCATACTCAAATTTAGATAGGGATGGAAGATGGGACTTTCCATATTAAACACCAAAAAATAAAAGCAATTAGTAGTGTGGGGGAAAATAGTTCATCCCGGACAAGTATTCCAAATTATCAAACCTTCCCCACACCATTATAGGGAATCACAAGGCAAAAAAAT